GTAAATTAATGTTTATGATAAATATATTTAAATATATATAGATAAATATTGTCACTGATTTTCAAAGGAATCAGTAGCTGGTGAGCATACAAGCTGAGAAATTCTGTAGTGAATATTCAAAAGCTCATAAAAAAATCCTGCTTCATCTAAAAACAATTTCTACCAAAGCCTTCCATTTGAACTTCAGACTATTAACTTTTCCCTTAGATTAGAAGTCAACTCCATAGACACAGACAACAGTATGGGGATTACCAGAGGGAAAAGGGAGTGAGGGAGGTAAAAGAGAGTAAAGGAAAAATAAATGGTGATGGAAGAAAATGGACTTGGGTGGTGAACACACAACACAACACACAGATGAGGTATGATAGAATTGTACCCCTGAAACCCATATAATCTTATTAACCAATATTACCCCAATAAATTCAATGAAAATTAAAAAAAGAAGTCAGCTCCCTGTTATCTATTAAATATTACAAAAAGTCCTATTTCCTTCTTATAGGCAAGTAAAGAGAATAAATCTCATCTATCCCATGTATGCTAATGAACTTGAGAAATTGCAAAATGTATTACTTAGGAAAACACTGTTTCCTGTTGATGGTTGGTGGGAGGGAGGTGGTTAGGGGGTTGGGGGAAAGAAAGGGAAAGGCTCTCTGGAACTCATTTCTCTGCCTCGTTCTCCACCCTTTCATCCTAACAGCACTCACATTAGAAGTTGTATGAGGTTTTGTTTGTTTTCAAGAGATATTTGAAAGAAGATCAAATACTTGTGAAAGGCACTGAATCGGCAACCCTAGAAACTGAAATGTCCCGGAAGCGTTATGAGCTCGGAAATATCCCACGTTTCTATTTATTTTGGCAATTTGACCTAAAACTAGTAAGAGTTGGAGTTCATGCTACAATTAAATTTTCCTCAGACACCATGAAATGAAAACACACATTGCATTTGATTTCATCTGGTTGAGAAAAATGGTGGTTTCTGAAAGTTCATCCTATGACCTAAAAATAAAAGTTAAGCAAGTTTCACATGGGACAGCCGGGATTCTTTTGAAGATATAATTGTTTGTAGAACTGGGTTCTTTGGTTGGAAGGGGTCTTAGGTCATTCAGTTCTCTTTTCCCATTATGTGCTTGAAACCAACTCTCACATCACTGGAGAGTGTTGGCTGCTTAAGCTTGAAGTTTGGGGGATATAAAACCTACTTCACTTGAGGATATCTATTTCTTTTTCAGATGGCTCTATTTTTTATTTTTATTTTTTAATTTATTTTTTTAAATCTATTTTATTGATTTTTTATAGAGAGAAAGAGAGAGGGACAGAGAATTAGAAACATCGATGAGAGAGAAACATCCATCAGCTGCCTCTTGCACACCCCCCACTGGGGATGTGCCCGCAACCAAGGTACATGCCCTTGACTGGAATCGAACCTGGGACCTTCCAGTCCGCAGGCTGACGCTCTATTCACTGAGCCAAACTGGTTTCGGCAAGATGGTTCTATTTTTTAGAATGAAGTAAAATAACATTAACAAACATTTAATAGTGCTTACTATATACCAGTAATTATGTGTAAAACTTATGGGAATATATAGAGAATCAAGATCCTGATTTTTAGAATGAAGTAAAATAACATTTACAAACATTTAATAGTGCTTACTATATACCAGGCACCAACTTGTTCACTATCATATATATATTTGTACACACAGACACACAGACACAATCACACAATCTCAAATCATAACAACTGTAGATTCAATTAGATAAATTCAATCAAGTAGATTCCAACTGACAGATAAAGAAACTGAAGCACAAATAAGTTACATCATTTGTCCAAGGTCATACCACTAGTAAACTAATCAGCATTTGAAGTTAGGCAGTCTGATTCCACATTCTCTACTTGTAACCCTCTACATCTTACTGCTTCTACAAGCTCTATAATTCTCCTTCATGCCTAGTACAAAGATTTACCCATTGTAGATGCTCAATAAAATTTTTTTTCAACAATTTTTTTCAAGATCCTGATTCTCTATATATTCCCATAAGTTTTACACATAATTATCAATTTTCTCTAACAGAAACAGTTGAAATAGTAGAATTTTTAATGATGGCTACTACTCTACCTACTGTAAGAAAACACTGAGGTGACTATTAGTTACATAACATTTGCTATAAAGTACATTTGATTTTAAAGGTGGCAGATGCCACTTTTGGCAATAGGTCCTTGAATGATTTCAGTTGTGGCTAGACAAGGAAATTATAAACATGCAAGACTTATGTGAGCACAATTCCTTTGCTCTTTCTTTCTTTATTCTGAACTTGCCTCACTATCCTGCACAAGGACAAGAGGAATCATGTTACCTCAGCAGTGCTATGTATTTTTATAGCTGCCTTCCCACCTCTATTCATCTACCTAGATCACCCATTTCATCCATCCAATCCATCCAATCCATCCAATCCATCCATCCATACATTATATACCATGTATCACTAGGTGCTTAGTATTGATACTAAGAAGGGGGAGATGGAAAGACAATAGCAGATTCTTCCTATTTACTTAGTTCATATTATTCTGCAGTCACATCTAGCCATTCAAGATAATTGCTTTAGAGTTGATAAAAACCCATTCCAAAAAGAAGTGGGTTTTAACCCATAATCTGGGAGTTAAATATTCTTTAACTAGAAAATTCTATTGCTTTTTTTTTTCCTTTTGATGTCCTTGGTCTTCTTTTTGGATGAAGTTCATCATTGGGTGTAATTATACTTTATCCAAAGTCTTGATTTATAGTTGACATTTATGCACTCATCAATGAAAGTAGGAACAAATAATTCTCTAAGGAACCTTTTCATAGGACATAAACTGTTAATTCTTCTGCTCAACTGTGGTCCCTTGAAGAGCCATCTGTGTTTGCTGGCTACTTTCAGATGATAGTCACAGTAGATGTATCTGAGGCTGGTCCCAGAGCATGATGTCTTAGCAGGAGTACTCAGCATCTCCTGGATAAGGTGGCTGGCCACATGAGCTCAGGCACTTGGCTGGCTTTCATCTGTGCTGATAACCCAGGATTCACTTTGCAACCACAACACCAGTGGCTTGGCTTCCATCTCTGGCTTTACTATGCTTCTGGTGGGTCCTTTTCCTCCTAGATTGAGCCTTGGACATATCCATATATTATATAGCCTGGATTTTCAGTGAACCAGGGTCATTATTTGCTTGGCTGTACACTTACCCTCTCTCAACTTTTATAATCAGTCATTTGGATTATCTTGAGACTTTTTGCTTTATTATCTGTGAAGATGCTAACCTACTGTTTAAATCAATAAAGGTGAAGGAGAAGATCTCTAAGACCTACATTCTATGATTCTACTGAGCTTTTCTTTACCCTCAGGGAAATCCAGCAACCCTGCTCTTATTTACTTCCTTCCTTCTGGTGGGAAAATATTAAATTAGTGGGAGATTTCATGTGGCCACTTTTGTCCCATCTTTGCCCTTTGGAATTCTTATTAGTCCATGTTGACTATGTGCTATTCTCTGCTGGCCAGAAGGAGGGCATCTTAGAACCCAAGCACATCTTTACCCATTTCTGGATCTCAGTATCCTTATCTTTACAATGGAGTGATTGAACTAAATAATTTCTGAGGCCTTTTGCAGCTCATAACATGGTTCTAGAATTTCCATAGAGCTGAAACACCTAAGATTTCAGATGTAAAAATCTAGGGGTATATGTGTGTGTTTGGGAGAGAAAGTAAGAGAGAGAAACAGAGGAACAGAGAGTATTCTAGGAGATGGAATCAGAAGGCAATAGTCACATATCAGAAGTCTCCTGATATGGGCTGGATAGTGTCACTTAAACCCAAAATTTACATGTTGAAATCCCAACCTCCAGTACCTCAAAATGTGACTGTATTTGGAGATGGGGAGTCAACATACAGGTAATTAAATTAAAAGTAGGTCATTACAGTGGGCCCTAATCCAATATGACTATTGTCCTTATAAGAGGGAGAAATTTGGGCACAAAGATATGCATAGAGGGAAGATGATGTGAAGGCACAGGGAGAAGGCCAATCACAAGCCATGGAACAAATCCTGGAAGAGATCCTTCCCTAATATTTCTCAGAAGGAACCAACCTGGCCAACATCTTGATCTTAGACTTCCAGGCTCCAGAAGTACATGACAAAACTTTCTGTTGTTTAAGCCACCTAGTCTGTGGTATTTGTTATGGCAGCCCTAATGCAGCAAACTAATACATCTTTTATGTCTGATTCCCAAGTGAAAAACAAAAAAAGGTTCAGTGACCTCTCATAGGTTACCTCACAGGCCTCACACGCCTTTAGGCAAATATTGCATGCCCTTCGGCCCAAACCTGGACTTGACTAAGACATGCAGCCTCCAAGTTTATTGCAGGAAAGGAAATCTGGGAACTTCTATGACACAATTCAGACTTGTGGAGAATTTGAGGCTAATGTTTAACTCTGGACATATATTTTGACATGAGTAACTCTTCTATAATAGATTAACACAAAATTTTTAAATGCATATAAAAGCCTTGATTTTGTAATCTTAATTCTTTTATTTAATTTTTTTGGGGGGAGGGGAAGGAAGTGGGGCTTATTTGACTCTTTAATAATTTTTCTTTTTTTCATTCTTGCCACTGTCTTTCTTTGGGCTTTCTTAGGAATTACTTGCTTTGTTTCCATTTTCTCCATATTTAATAGCCACATTTTATAACAGAATCCTTCAATCCTTCAATCACAGGTATTAGCTAGCTCCACTAAGCTACTGTTCTTCATTTCCTCTATAGCATTTCTCACTTTTCTGTATTGCTGTCTGCTTCTCTCTCATTGTCTTTGTCCCTCTCTGCTTTTCTCCTCCATTTTTCTTTTTGCTTCTGTGTTCAGTTTCTAGCTCCAGTCTCCTTCCTCTGCTCTTTCTTCTTTCCTTTCATTTGCTGACTTGCTTCCATCCCCTCCTTCTGTTTCCCTCCTGGGTGTTTCTTTGGCCCACCTTTCTTTCTCCTTTGAGACTTCTTTTTCTTGTTGGTAGATGGGGGCTGATACTGTAAACATCACAAAAATAATGTCATTGAGAACAGGTGGTCTCCTTGGTGTCCCCGAAGACAGCCTTAGAGTCAGCCCAGAATGCCTAGGCTCCATAGGATGCGGGAGACAGCACTGGTGTTGGACAGGTGTCTAACCTCAGTCACCAGCCCCAACATTCTAGAACTTTGGGACTCATCTTATATCCCCACACTCTACCCAACTAGAAATTGAGAGGCACTGGGTCACCTGGGAAGAAAGAGAATTAACCTGCCTTTACCATCCCCAGCACAACTTTCCTTCTCATTCACCTAAAAGTAACTTCTGTGGTGCTTGCTCCCTGACCATTGGCTGCTGTGTTCTCTGGACACCAAGTGGTGCTGGGTCTCTTTCCACCCCTCAAGGTAGCTCCCTGGAGTCACATCTTTGCTCAGCCCCCATGGTCCTCCAGACTTGGCTGCAGTTTATGACCAGGAAGCAGCAAAGGTGTCATTGTAAACATCTTGGTTTCTCATCTTGAGCATTCTGCACTATGCTAGTCTTGGATCCAAAGATTAAAACCACAGGTGGTATTTTTTTTATTTTGTTTTGTTTGATTTTTCCTTTTGTCAACAGAGTTCCCCAAGGAAACACTTTCCTTACTCAACCTTCCTCTCTTTCTTCTTCATTCTTCACCTTCTCTTTAGTTCTCATTCTTTTTACCTCATGACTAAAATGTTAATTACTTACATTAACTTGTTGACTCATTCATTCATTCATTCATTCATGCAACAAAAGTTTATCAGGTGACAAACGTGCATCAGGTGATTTACATGCTTTTGATGGCAGAGCTAGTACCTCTAAGGTTTGCTTAAAATCTAGCTTTTAAAAAAGACACCTGCAAATTTTGGTCATTAGAAATTTCTAGGTATTCTTCAAGTTAAACAAATTTATATTTTTAATGTTTTTCTTTAATTATGTTTGCCAATGGTTGTGAATTTCAAATAGTTCCCATTTTAGAGTTGTGCTTTATTTTATACTTTTGCAGAATACCAGGACCTAAAAGTCTCCAGGTTTTATTCTTAATTACAATTGTGACAGATGTTAACAGCTGTGTTGTGCAGACACATGGGAAGCACTGTATGTGCAGTAAGTTAATTCTCACAGAGACCTGATGAGGTAACTATTACAGTTCTTCACCACTTTCTGTTATCTGATTGCCCAGAGCAGTGCAAAAGAGAATTTGCAATGCGAAGTGACCAAAGGGATGGATATCTAGAGTGAGAATGGAGCTATTTTTACCTCTAGAACAAGAGACTAAGCCTTAGTACTGACTGTTCTTCATTGGGCCATATATGAATATAACAGTGTTTACCTATTGCCTTTTAAAGTTTAATTAGTCCTTTAAAGTGTCCCATAGGCTTGGTTTCTTGTTCACTAAGGGGACATAATTACTGTTTGGCCCACCCACTCATATATGACCCAGATCTCTTGAGGATGGAGGGATCCCACTCCAGCTGGCTTACCTTCTGAGCCTTGGGTACATCAGTGTGGCGCTGGGCACGGACGGAGCGGGCTGCCTTGGCAGGCTTGAGTGGGGCGCAGTACATCTCCAGTCTCCTCAGATCACAGCTTCGGAAGCAGCACTCGTCCACAATTCCTGTCTGAATTGCCCTCCGACTATTGGCGCCATACCCTGAGGGCTTGTCTGTACAAATAAAATGCAGAGTGGCCTGGCTTTAGAGTGGAATCTTCCAAATTCATGGTTCCATCTAGACTCTAAAGACGCTCCTCTCCGCACACCTAGTCTTCCCACACATTTGTATGTGAACCTCTCTTTGAAGCTTCTCTAACAATTCCTGTCTCTATAGATCCTTCTGGATTCTAGTATGTCTCCAGGAACCTGTATCACACTCGTTTACACTAACTCATTCACAACATTCTTTGTGTTAGTTCTCCTTATGTTCTCAGCAAACTTTAACCAAAAAAAACCTGTATGACCCAATCCTGACCTTTCCTTATATATTGGCTGAGGCTGCTAGGGATATTAATTAAAAGAGGATAATGTATTCAGTTTCCTTAACCTTTTTAGAAAATTTGCTTCGTTTTTATGTTCAGGATAGCTCAAATATTTGCTCTTTTGCTTAATTGCTTCCACTGTAAGAGCATCAGTGAGACTTTAAATCTAGAAAAGACTCCTACTTTCCTGGTGTAGAGGCTGAAAGTGGGAGTTGGGAAGGACTTGCTATAGGCCATTCTGCAATAAATGGTAGAATCAAGAGTTTAACCCAGATCAACTCTGGAAAAGTCATTGAAGCTTCCTGAGCCTCAGTTTACTCATTTGTAAAGTGAGGTTCATGATATCTTTCTTGTGAGGGTTGTTTAAGGATTACATGAGATAATACATGGAAAGTATTTAGAGTATCACTAGACACATAGTAGGTCCTAAATAAATATTGGGTTGCTTCCTCTGAGCACCCCTTCCCAGAATCTTACATGGTTCGTGAAGAAGTAGGGTTACTGTTGACTGCAGCCAGAAACCTTGGAACTTGGAACTGATGACAATACCGATGTGATAGAGCTCCCTCTCCTAATCACCTCAGAGAGACCAGAACAATCAATTCTGTCTTCTTAAAGAATAGTTATTAGACAGAGACAGAATGAACTAAACGTCTACCTTTCCTGTGACCTGGATTGCCCAAAGGGAACACCATGAGTCAAATTTCTCTTGATATTTGCAAATCAATTAGACGTCTTTACTTGGCAAGTAGATTTTGGTGTGGTTTCATTTTGTTTTGATTTAAATACACTTTTCCTGGCTCTAGAATGAAAAGAAATGGCAAAACAAGGTTACATGGACCTTAAAATGTACCTGGATTCTTTGTAAGCTTTTTGTCCTAGTAGAACTTTTGTTAAAATCGAATCTTGCTTATACACCAATATATAAAACAGACAAAAGTAAAAGTGCCCTGACAGGCAAGGGCAGGGGGACCCTGTCTCAGCTTTCTCTCCTGTCCCTTAACTCCCTTGGGAGGTCGCGGGGAGGGCTGGTTTTCTTCACTGACATTCAGATTTGGTGGTGGAAAATTTATAAACCATTGATCTAGAAGAATCCAATTAATCAATCTGACATATATTTGATCTTAACTTCTGACACAGGAGACAGCATTATATTTTACATATTAAAATTTTGTATAATAATGACAATGTTCTTTAGGATGGAGTTTTGAAAGTCAAAATCCACAATGTATATTTTGAACTCCCAGGGTCATGGCCCACCACCAGATTAGTCTGGCAGCCTTGTAGCTTGAAGGGCCAACTGTTGGTGGCGTTCTCTGAGAACTCAGATGTTTTCCTGGGGTGTAGCACAGGAGCCTGGAGATGCTTCCTTATAGAAGGCAAGAGTATTATCATTCTTAGGACAGCAGAGGGTAGTAACTCAGTGAAGGTTTAGTTTGTGGTCTCTCTAGGTGGGTTTGCTGCTTTGGATGGGCAAAACTCTATGGGCTCCTTGTGGAGCCTCAGCAGGGTTTCCACATACCATAGCAAATCAGCTGGTGTAGAAGACTTAGTCTATAAAATAGCTATGCTTTTTTTTAGTCCACAGATCAATGAATTTAGGGAAAGAAAAATTTAGGACTTTTAAAAATATATATATATATATTATTGATTTTTCACAGAGAGGAAGAGAGAGAGATAGGGAGTTAGAAACATCGATGAGAGAGAATCATCGATCAACTGCCTCCTGCACACCCCCCACTGGGGATGTGCCCATAGCCAAGGTACATGCCCTTGACCAGAATCGAACCCAGGACCCTTCAGTCCGCAGGCCAACGCTCTATCCACTGAGCCAAACTGGTTTTGGCAGGACTTTTTCTTTAATGTTTCATAAAGAAGGTACCTTATGTCCATATTTTTAAAAATGTTGAAATAGTGGTATAAAGACTTGGATTTGGCTATAAATGCAGCTATCAGTTATCCTACCATAATCCTAGAAAGATGTTTTTCTTTGTCTATTCATAATGTCTACAATAGACTGATTGTCCTTCATTGGGTGATATATGAATATAACAGTGTTTACCTATTGCCTTTTAAAGTTTAATTAGTCCTTTGAAGTGTCCTATAGGCTTGGTTTCTGGTTCTATATCAAGATATTTAATAAAAAATAATTTCTTGCCAACTGAGAGGCCATAGTTGAGGGTCCAAGTTTTGCCCTTTATCTTCAAATGCCTCATATTACTTCTTTTCCCAGAAACAAAATAAAGGCACTTATTGCTACAGGCTAACATTAGAAACCCGATACAGTGTGGTTTACTAGAAAGGCAGTAACATAATTTGCTCCAGTATCAATTTGGGGGAATTTTTTTTAATAACCTCTAAATTGTAGCTTTGGTCATTATGACTAATTTTTAAATGTGATAGAGTGAATTGTTTTATCCTTTCCTTTAAAAACTCAGCATCAGACACTATGCAATTTGGCTACAGTGGGTGGAATCACAAGTTGGTAGGCGAGTGGGCTTAATATATATTGGCTTAAAAGAAGAGAAAATTTTTCTAACAATTTGGACTCAAAGGTTTAAAGATAGAACAAACTTCTTTTAAAAGTAATGAATTTCCTATTTCTGGAAGTAGTTCAGTAAAGGTGGTATGAACACCTGTTGAGAGATGCAAGGACCGTATTCCTGTTTGAACACAGTACATGGTGCTATTTTTCTTTCTATTCCAAAGAATCTGTAACAAGTGAAGAAATGCAGAAGAAAACCCATCCAGGCCAAATGTTCAATATGGTTGGAAGCCATTTATATTGTCTTCAAGAAAGAGGTCAGAATACTTTCTAACTCAGAAGATGAAAATTTATTTTCCATTAATCATTTGAGCTTCCCCAAGATGCTCAAAACATTTTTTCTTTACTTCAGGAGTGGAGAAGGTCTCGCCTGGGGGCCACAGGAGGCCCTCAAAATCATTTGGTCTGGCCCTGCCACAGCATTAGGGGTGAGTACACTTAATGCTTGACCAAATATAGGAGGCTCATTTTTAAGTTGATAATTTTGTAAGGCCCACATATGATGCTATATATATTATCATATATTTCTGCCCTTGGCAGAAAAAAAGGTTCCCAACTCCTTCCCTTGATGCTAAAACAAAAGACAGGTAACTGGGATAATTCCTTTTGCAGGTAGGTACAGCCCCAGAGTTCTGTCCTACTGACATCATGAAGTGTCTACACACTCACTTGGTCATTGGAGTGAATAGGCATTTATAAAATTTGGCCATTTAGTCTAGGCCTTGACTTGTCTTATCATGTGTGTAGACACAGTGCACTACTATATCTTGAAAGTTGGCCAACAAACAGAATTCCAATGGTTAAACAGATGGCTTCTGTAATAACAGCATTTCCCTTTAAATAATGCATGATTAGTGGAGTAATTCAATAATCGTCAGGGCAAACTTGCTAGTTACAAGGATTTGGGGCAGAATTGTGGCATCATCAAAACCACACCAATGAGCTGAGTCTCACATTTTGTTTGGGTTGCAAGCTCCTCGCTTCCCTCCATCCCTGAAGGAGAAGGTTAGTGCTGAGAGTTCACTGGGGTCATCGCTTCTTGAGCAGAGAGCTCTAGTTACCCATCGCTGGTAAAAATGGTGCTACCTCTACTGGTGCTACATGTGGTTGTGCTTCTTCCAGGTTTCTGGGAAGGCAGTTGGAAACTACCCCCCTTGTTTATTGAGAATGCTTTAATTAATTTAATTTTGCCACTAATTGAAGAATCAGTATTCACAAAATGGAAATGGGAACATTTTCCAAATAGAGATATATACAATTCTGAAGATATAGACTTAATCTTTGTATTCTGAGGAACGAAACTATTCTCTAGAAATTGCTAACAAAAGGAGGTTCTAAATTCGGTCCTAATTTGAAAGCAGAAAAAAAGAAGTAAGACAATTCAGGTTGGATTTCAAGGGCTATTTTTAGAAAATTCACAGTTATTAAAACAGAAAACACAATGGGATTATTCTAAAAAATAATTTGCATTTAATTTTGATTAATGGAGGCTTGATTACATGACCAAATATTACTGTTAAAATCTTTAGAAGGCAGAAAGATAGGTGTCCTGCACCAACTCTGTATTCATAACTTCCAGAAATGATAACTTATAATAACTGTGTATGGTTAGTTTCTTAGCTCAGCATTGCTCCATACACTACCTTATCTAATAAAAATTTGCTCAGTTGACATAATTTTGCATGGAAAAGTTGGGTAAAATGTGAATAATATTAAAATTGTCTCCATCTTAGCATTTCAATTGCTATTTTCATTTCTGGTAAAATAAGAATCACTTCTCAATATTTCTTACACATGTTGTGGCTTTCCTATGGAAAACAGGACTTTTTTCATGAATTCCTAATAGAAAGAAAATTGTGATATGACTATTATCCAGACCCAAAATGTAATACTAACTTGAATGGTTATTTTTTTCTGGATAAATAGGATTCACATTTTTACTTAAAGCCCCTTGATAAGTCAATACTTCACCTTTTAAAAAATTCTATAGAAATCACACTCGAATTAAAACATGTGCTTAGTAAATATAAGAAAAGAAGCTTTTGCTGCCATAACTAGCCACTCATTATGTACTTAGATTAACATGAGTATGTACACACACATATTCAAACATATATCAGGAGTCAAGCAACTTACCACTAGTA